TGAAAATGTGCAAAACTTAATTGAAAAAATATGAAATGAAAAAGTATAGTAAAATGGTTTAAATATAAGTTAGATCTACCAAAAAAAACTAGATAGCCTTCCTACTCGATAATATAGTAATCAGAAGATGAAATGAGAAAAAGAATACAATTTCTAAAAGCAATAAATATTACATACAAAAAACAATTTTGGAATTCATCTAAAAGGATGCATAAGACCTACAACGTATACTAGCATAGGACAGACACACAGATCAATAGAACACAATAGAGAAATAAATAGAATCACACATATAAATTCAATTTTTGACAAAGGGGCCAAGGGGATATGATGAAGGAAAAGAAGAATTTTTCAACAAATAATGTTGAAACAACCAGATATCTATATTGGGAAAAAAGTGAACCTTGACCCTTGTTTCATACAAAAATAAGCTTGAAATGAAGTTAAAGACTTACATATAAATGATAAAACTATAAAATGTCTAGAAGAAAGCATAGGAGAGTATCTTGGTGAACTTGAGATAGACAAATACTTATTAGATTACTAAAAATGCTATCCCTAAAAGAAAAAACTTGATATCTTTAAGAGTTTATCAGAATTTAAAAACTCTGATGGCACATGCCTGTATTCCCAGCAACTCTGGAGGCCGAAGCAGGAGGATCACAAGTTCAAGGCCAGCCTCATCAACTTCATGAGACTTGGTCTCAAATACAAAAATATAAAAGAGGCTGGGTATGTAGTTCAGTGGTGGAGCATTCCTGAGTCCAATCCCCAGTACCTCCCCTGCCGCCAAATTAAAAACTTCTACTCTTCAAAGAAACATCATTAGGGAAATGAAAAGGCAGGCCACAGACTAAAGAAAGATCTTACATCCAATTGCACAAAGAACTCATGATTCAATAATCAAACACATTGAAGAAAAAAAAAATCAGACATTCACAAAAGAATATACACAAATGAACAAAAAGCACATGAAAATGTGTTCAACATCATTAGTCATCAGAGAAGAACCTCACAAAGCCACAGGAATGGCTAAAATAAAATAAACTGACAATACCAAGTGCCGATGAGGGAATACAAAACAGTACAACCAGGTCAGGCATGGTGGCGCATGCCTATAATCCCAGCGCCCTGAGAGGCGGATGCAGGAGTATGCCAAGTTCAAAGGCAGCCTCAGCAACTTAGTGAGACCCTAAGCAACTTATCAAGACCCTGTCTTAAAATATAAAAAATTAAAAATGAAAGAAAAAGAGCTGGGGATGTAGCTCAAGGGTTAAGCACCCCTAGGTTCAATCTCAAGTACCAAAAAAAAAAAGGTACAACCAAGGGTTGGGCATGTAGCTCAATGGCAAAATATCTGATTAATATGTGTTGAGGCCCTGGGTTCAATCCCCAGAACCACCCAAAATCAAAAACAAACAATAAATCAAAAAACAAAACGGTACAACCAGTTTGGAAAAGTTGGGTAGTGTTTTTTTTTGTTTTTTTTAAATAAAGTTAAACTTACCACAAAACATGACAATTTTGGGCTGGGGTTGTGGCTCAGTGGTAAAGCACTCACCTAGCAAGTGCGAGGCTCTGGGTTCAAACTCAGCACCACATAAAAATAAATAAATAAAATAAAGATATTTTTTAAAAAATGACAATTTTACTTTTAAGTATTGAGTAGAGTGAAATGGGAATTTATGCTGTATGCAAATGTTTATGTTGGCTTTACTCATTAATCATTGATAATGGATAATTGATAATTGCAAATGGATAAACTGTGGAATATTACCCAGAAATAAAAAAGAATGAATTAAGCTGGGTGCAGTGGCACATGCCTGTAATCCCAGTGGCTCAAGAAGCTGAGGCAGGAGGATTAAAAGTTCAAAGTCAGCTTCAGCAACTTAAGTGAGACCCTACCTCAAAATAAAAAATTAAAAAGGGCTGGGGTGTGGCCCAGTGTTTAAGCGCCCCTGGGTTCAATGCCTGGTACTCCCACCAAAAAAAAGAATGAATAATTGATCCACATAATAACATAGATGGATTTCAAATGTAATATGCTAAGTAAAAGAGGCCAGACTCAAAAGCCTACATAGTATATGAGTTTATTTATGGAACAGTCTGGAGAAGTCAAAAGCATACAGACAGAAAACAAATCAGTGCTTTCCAGGGGCTGAGAGTGATAGGAGTGGTTGACTACAAAGACACTCAATAGGACATTTGCTGAAGTGATAGAATTCTTCTTTATCTTCATATGGTGGATATAACGTGATATGATGATAGTTACATGACTATATGTATTTCTAGAACTGTACATTAAAAAGAGCAAAGTGTGGACTGGGGTTGTAGCTCAGTGGTAGGGCACTTGCCTAGCACCTGTAAGGCACTGAGTTCGATCCGCAGCACCACATAAAAATAAATAAATAAAATATTGTATCCATCTACAACTTAAAAAAAAAACAGTGACGTATAATAAATTATACTTCAGTTTTAAAAATGCAAAACAGACTCAGAATCTTTGAGGGAACTAATTATATGATAATTTTTCCCAAATATTTCAACTTCCCCCCACCTCACACAATGCCCCCCCCCCCAAATAAAGTTCCACAGATTAAAGACCTAGACATTTTACAACATTTAAAATGAACTTTTTTCCTCTCTTGAGGTAGAGAAGGACTTTCTCAGTGAGGCATAAAAACCAGTTCCCAGATTTTTACTGAAGTCAGAATCTCTATTTTTGGAACTGTTAACATTACAGAAACACACCCCCCCTCCCCATTTTTTAATTTAATGGTGCTGGGCCCGATAGTGTATTTGAAAGTGACTTGGCACTCTCTAAAATGGAAAAAATGTATTTGCCAGTTTCATCTGACTAGTGAAAGCACCAAGAACATTTGTCGTGATGAACCCTCTCTGAGTCCCCAGAATGACCACATCGGCCATGGAAAATCAACTTCTATGCTGGCTCTCCCTAACACCTGAGCAAACTCACTTGGCCATTTCTGGAAGGCTGTTCGTGGTACCAAAAACATAGCGGCTTTCCTTTCCCTGCCAAACCCGCCAATGAAATTCCATTTCTCAGATTTTTTTCTCCTTCTGCTGAAGAAAATCATAGCCATAATTAGAGTTCCATTTTTTCTTTTCTTTTTTTCTAACATTTTTTCCCAGAAAAATACACACACCTGGAATCTGTGTTTTTTTGGCAAGAATTATTCACAGACAAAACAAGGATGCTGGCCCTGCATTTCTTCAGTGTTTTTTTTTTTTTTCAGTAGTGAAATTTGCTTTATCCCCCTTTTAATGAAAGTCACCTTGCAAGGATGTGGGAAGGATAAAAGCAAAAGGGAATCTGATCTGGGCTGGCAGGGTGCTGAGGCCCTGTAAAACAATACCTCTGAATAGCTACAAAATTTGGCCACTTTTTGTATTCCAGCTTTGCATTTGACCTGTACAAGTGGCCAAACCAAGCAATGTCCAACTCATCTTGGATTTTGCCTAAGCAAAATTTTGACACACTAGATAACGCCTCCCCAAATCCTTCGGACATAACATACCTTGTCCGTTAATTTACAAATTATTTGGACATCAACCTTAATAGTATTGTATACTAATGTGAAACTCTTAATGCACTGTTAATTATTAATAAAGCAATAAATTCTGTCCTACCATGCATGACTGGGGCTACTCTCAGGAGTCCTTCTTATGATAGTCAGAGTTGAGAAAGATTAGAAAAACTGCAATATTTTGCTTAATAAAACTTTACTCGACATCACCCACCAGTTCCAAACCTGATTAAAGAAATGATCCTTTTCCCACTTATGATGATCATGAGACAAGATCCGACAAAGTTGTGGGGCCCAACGCAAAACAAAAATGCAAAATCCCTTGTTCAAAAATCATTCCGAATTTCAGCATTAAACCAAGTGTAGGTTGCACCTCCATGAAGCCAACTCTGCTGGTAGATAAAGTACGGGCTAGAAAGCTGTAAGAAGTAAAGCATTTTGCTATTACATGAATAGCAATAGTTTAATCGTTTTTAATGTGTGTGCTTGGGGATACAGATGAGTTGTAACGTCTTAGGACCTCATCTTCAGATCTCCCACTTTTCCTTAAATTTTCAACTTGTTGGACAAAAAGTAGGTCTATATAGTATTGCCACATAAAGTAGTCTGCCACATAAAGTGTAGTCCGTGGGCAGCAACAGTAGCAGCATCTGGGAACTTGTTAGAATTGCAGACTCTGGGGCCCCACCCCAGACCTACTGAATCAGAACTTCATTTTAACCAGATCCCCAAGGGATTCATGTGCACAGTACAGGCTAGAAGTGTCACTGTCGAGGCAGCCACGGAAAACCTGTCTCTGGTTTCATCAGGCTTTTGGGCAACCGGGCAGCGCTTTTTCTCTCTCTCTCACTTTGTATACAGTTCCGGAGCCTCAGAATTCAAGTCCCTGACAAAATGCGCTCGCGAATCCACTAGCCTCTTCCCCGATGCTCACCCCGTGGCTCTGAGCCGCTGCTCCATCCTGCCGGGCCCGGGGCCACCTGTTCTGGGCCCAGCCAGGTGGTGCTTCGCCCAGCAGTCCCGGGCTCCTCCGGCACCGCCGCACCCCACTGTCCCGCACGGTAAACCGATTCCCCGGGATGCGCGTCTCGCAGACCGCCGGGGCGAGTAAAGCTCGTGACTCCGTTTCCCAGAGAGGCGGGAAGGATTTGAATCCGTTTAAACGTTTGGAATACACGAGTCCCCCCTAAGAGAACGCGTCCCTGGAGCCCCCTTTCCCTCCGCGCGCAGTTTCCCACTGTGGGAGTGCCGGCCCCGGGGCTCTGCGCTTTGCCACTGCCTTTCAGGACGGCCCGGGCCGACGGCGGAGAGCCTCAGCCGGGCGGAGGGAGCGTTCGTCCCGTCGCCCTCCAGTCCACACGTTGCGACTGAGCCTCCCGTGCCTGTCGCCAGCTCTCGGGCCGGATCTTAGAAGCGCTAGGGGACAGACCCATCTCGGCGCCGCATGCTTACCTGTCGGTCCCAGCGACGGGCTGGCCGCTGGCGCCCTCGGGTCCTCCTTTTCCCCTTTCTCTTGGGCCTCGTCCCTCCTCCTCCCTCCCGCGGGCCGGGCACCGCCCCCGCCGCTCCCGGACCGCTCGCGCGCCCGCCTGCTCTCCAGCTGCCCAACGCGGCGTGGCGCGTCCGGCGCTCGGCGGCTGCAAGGCTGGGCGCCGAGGCTGGACGCGGAGGTGGGGAGCGGGCGGGGCGCAGTGAGGAGGGTGTGAGCGCGCCGCGTAGCCGGCCAGAGCCCTGCAGGGAGCTTGGGGCTGAAGAGGTGGGAGATAGCGGGGGCAACGAGTCCGGCTGTCCACCCCACGTTCGCCAGAGCCCCCGCGGCGCTTCTGGACTCCGCGAACCAATAGTCCCTGGATGCTGGGCGTCGAGCCCGGCGCGCTCCCCCTCGGGGTCCCCAACTTTCACGCCTAGTGGCTCACCTTTAGGGGTCGCTCTGGTACCCAAAGGCCTGTCCCGCTACTTCCAGCGCCGTGCGCTGTGATAAATGGGAGCCCCGAGGTCGCCCCTTTGCCAAGATATTCCTAAATGCAGAAACCAGACCCCTTAAGGTTTGGAGAGACCGATAAAAGAGAAACGTCCTGGGATTCAACTCGTGGTTTCCTGGTGAAGGATATAATTCACTGGGTACCTAGAAACTAGGATCCTCAGCGCTCTGCCTTCTGGGGACAGCTAGAGGGGTGAGGTGACAGTTTATAAAGTTGATGGTCCCTGGTCCCCTCTACCGTTTCCCCCTGTCATTATCTCCACCCTCTGCACTTTCATAGAATAAAAATTAGATCTGGAGAGCATCTTGTCAAAGTACCCTACTTTACAGATGGGAAACCCGAGGCTCGGTTCTACAATACGAATTAGTTATAGAGACCAGGTAAATACTAAACACTCCGAATTTCCTCTCTGGCTCCTTTTGCTACTCCCACCGCCCCCCCCCCGTTATAGTCAAATAACACCTATATTTGAGAAATGCTTTATCACTTTAAGAATACTGTTCTCTCGGTTAAACCCACAGAAGAATATGCCGTTTATCTTTATGATCTGAATTCCGAATTGAGGTGATGTTTATAAAGGGCAAATCTGCAGAGCACATCCTCTTTGACTCTGCCATATTAGCCACATCAGAGGTGAGGTATATACTGAGCTTTGCAGGAGGGGTGGAATTTGTTTTGCAAACACCAATTTATTGACACAACATTCTAGCGGGATAAATGAATGGACAGTGTTTTCAGAGAGACTTTTGGCTGGTTGGATTAAGGAAGAGTGGAGGTCAAGAAGCTCATCCAGATTACATAACAAGCTAGAAGTTATGACTAGAGGGAAAAGAGTGTATGAGTAACTTGATGTTACTCCAAAGGGTTAAACTGGTTCTGTTTAAATTAATTTATTTACATATGTTTGACTTTCTATAAAATAAACTTCTTATTGAATAGAACCATCAGGACTCTCATAGACTGCTAGTGGGAGTGTAAATTGCTTATAACACTTAGAGTTCTTTAGCAGAATGTATTAAAGTTGAGAGTACAACTAACCCTATGGAGAGCAACTCCCCTTCTAGGTCAAATAAGTGTGTCTGCTTACCAAAGCATATGAACTAGACTATTATACCAGTGCATCTGTAATAGCTCCAAATGCCTGTTAACTGTAGCATGGATTAAAAGTGGTGGTGGTATAGTCACCAAATGGAATGTCAGACAGCAATGAGAACTTTTGAACCACTGCTACACTGAATTTAGATGGACTGCATAAACAACGTGGAGTGAAACAAGTCAGAGATGTCCGTGCTTGGGATTCTGCTTCTATAAAGGATAAAACAGGCAAAACTAATCTGTGTTGTTAGAAGTCAGGAGAGTGATCACTGGTGAACTAAAGGAGAGTTAAAAGAGAGAATAAGAAGGGCTTACAGGGTGCCAGTAACAAACTTGATCTGGAGTCTGGTTACATGAATCTATCATATTTTTTCAAATTCATTGAGCTGCTCAACTATAATATTGTCCACTTTCTGGTATATATGTTTCACTTCAATTAAATGTTAAAACATGTATCTCATACCTCATATAAAAAGTTGCTTGAATTTCTGAAATTGAGATTCCAGACTGTGTTTTTCCTTTAAACAACTTGCTTTTTTAAAAAAAAAAAAGTACTTTAAAGAAATATGTCTAAAAACCAAAAGCCAGTTCTCACCATAAAATTGAAGTTCTTATTTTATTATACTTGCAGCCAGACTTTCGTTTTTGACAAACACTCTCAGATCAATATCAGGACCTACAGAAAAGATGCTGGGACCAAGTAGAACTGGCCCTCAGTCTGAGGGCCTTCTGCCTTTTCCAACAGGAAGCCCTGATCACCTGCCTGCCTCCTACACAGGTGACACTAAAGAAGATTGTGGGTGCTCAGGATTTGTGGTTAAATATTTATTCAAAGTCTGTGGGCTGATGTCCGGATAACTGGCAAGTAGGTGACTGGCCCTTATTCCACAGGGTCTTTGGGCTGGTAACGGAGTTTGATCACCAGACATAGATTACTTAGCAAATATGGAAGAGACTGAGTAAGCAGGGCAGAAATCTTTGTCTCCTTGCTCCCTTCCATTGGCGGACCCTGTAGTGTGAACTCTTAGCAAAGGTGATGGCAGAGGAAGACAGTTAAACCAGTGCTCAGGGCCCAATTCTCCTTAGATCTTCGAATGCACTTTACCTGTGGTCAGATAGTCTACAAATATACCACACAATGGTCTAGAACAGATTAATCATTTTCCAAGAGCAGGAGAGCAGGATGAGAACATGGGACTCAGGTGCAAGTCAAGACAGAGGGCTGATGTATAATAATAATAAGCAATCTTTACAAACTTTATAGTTCATTTTACTAAATCCTCATGGCAACTCACTAAGGATTGTATAATTGAGGAAACTAAAGCACAGGGAGGTTGAGTAGCTTCTTCCAAGGTACACAGCTAGTAAGTGGTAGAGCCAGGACTAGAATTGGTCAGAGTGTGACTCTCTAACCCCTGCTTTCTTAACATTTGCATAGGAAAGTAGACAAAGAATCAGGAAATGAGGGATTTTGTGTCCACCAGTTTTGCCACTAACTAATTGCATTTTCACTTAGACAATTTGGGCTTTGGTTTCTCATTTGTAAAACACATAGCATCAAAACTCTTGTGGTAATGCCAAGGCTTGGTTGGTTTGGGGTGATTTAATTTTCATCAATGCTCCCCCATTCCAAATAAAAGCCATCTAATAAAAACTGCATACTGTACAATGTAAACAAGAAAAGCTCCCTAGCTAACATGGCTCTAACTTCTCACACACTTGTAATTAAACTACCATGCATGCATCTCTCCTTTATAGACATTCTAGTGCAATACTTCTCAGAAGTCTCTTCTGGCCTATGTCACCCATTCATTCATTCAAGAAGATTTATTTTATGCCTAAAGGATCAGTGAGGACAGCTTAGATTATTCTGCAATAAAAAACAGCCCTCAGTCTCAGTGATTAGCTGCTGGTGATGGTGCACATCTATAATCCCAGCTAGTAGGGAGGCTGAGGCATAAGTATCACAAGTTTAAAGCAACCTAGTGAAACCCTGTCTCAAAATTAAAAAAAAAAAAAAAAAAGAGCTGGGGACATAGCTCAGATGGAGAGCACTTGCCTAACATGTGTACGGCCCTGGTTTCAATCTCCAGTACTGGGGGAAAAAAGAATCTGAAAGAATCCCAGTGGTTAACACAACAAAGGTTTATGGGTTCCTCATAGTTAGAAGAGGAACTTTATGTATTGCAAGCACTCAGAACTGGAGGGAAAAAGGGCTCCGAACCACAAGCATTTTCATGTGATGTGTGACACTTTTCCTCCCAACTCATCACATGGCACTGTTCACATAATTGCACCCAGGTGCCAAGAGCCAGGAGATGCAGCCCTATGAGGACCCAGGAAGTGAAAAGCTGAAAACACTTGGTAAACAGTACCAATAACTATCACACCTGCTATGTGACAGACCCAGGCAAAGGAGGATGAGCAAGTGGTGGCCCCAGCCTCTCCAATCACTCACTCCCAATCAGACCAGAGCAGTCGCTGGTGATGTAATTCTCCCCGGTGGTAGAGGCTTTGGTGGATCTAGGTGAGAAACCAGTCTCTGCCAACTTAAGTGAAGTCACCATGTGATACAGCAACATTTTTCTCCAGAACATTGTGTTAGTTGTAATGGTGGTAAACCAATTGCATAACAAAGGAGATAAATAAATCACACACTCTCCTGGGAGGCAAGAAGGCCCTCTTTTGTGAAAATATTGAATGAAGACAGTTGGACATGTTGTCATTCTGTTCAATGAAAGTTACAAATGACAGTTTAATGAAAAATGAAGCCAGACTTTGGCTTCAGACAAGATGAGAATGGTGGGACCAACCCTTTCTGAGAATGTGTTCCAGTTTGGGAAGAGCTGAACATGATCCTGGGCCAACACAAATAACCCAAAAATTCAGAGGAAACTGAAGGCAACCCAGTCAATCTGCACGCTGAGATTAGTTTATGAAACTCACCACCACCCTGCCTGGCAATGAGCAATCCCAGGGCCTTGGGGCTGGGGATAGAGAGTTGGGGAAGAGGATGAGTCTTTGGGGCTCTTTCGTAGTGAGAAAGGAGGCAAATTTGGGGGCCAGGCCACATCCAGCTCAGTGCTAATTGAAGAGCTCCAAACAGCAATGGACTTTTTTGTTCCCAAGAGGAATCCATGAAGTCCTGACCATGCAATTTTATTTATTTATATTTTGGGGGCAGTACTGGGGACTAAACTCAGGGGCACTTGGCCACTGAGCCACATCCCCAGCCCTATTTTGTATTTTATTTAGAGACAGAATCTCACTGAGTTGCTTGGCACCTTGCCATTGCTGAAGCTGGCTTTGAACTCGTGATTCTCCTGTCTCAGCCTCCCAAGCTGCTGGGATTACAGGCATGGGCCACTGCGCCTGGCCTGACCATGCAATTTTAAATCTATCTCTTGCTTTTCCTGTCTCTTAAACTCTAGGGCACATTTCAGAGGGAAAAACTGGATGGATGGACC